GGCCGAGGCCGCGCCCACAGGACATGCCCGCGCCGCCGCCCCGGAGCAACCCCGCGCGCCAAGAGGTGAGGACCACCACCATGACGCCCGCCGCACCGCCGCCAGGAGCTCGACCACTCCGCAGCACACCGTGCCGCCGCACCCGTCAACCAGTCCGGCGCCCAGGCCCGGCGGATCTGGCCCGTGCCTGACCACCCGCGCGAGGGGACGAAGGAGGCCCCGCCGCCGCCTGCGCAGACCGGGCTTCGCCCGGCCACGCCCTCCAGCGGCGGCGAGGGGGAGTAGGGAGGGAGAGGGGACCGGGCGGAGGAGATCGGGGCGCCCTCCCCGGCCGCACAAATCCAAGACAAGTAATTCGGAACGGAGGGAGTAGGTGGTGATGTTAACCAAGCAGTTGGTTGTGTACCTACTCGGCGCCGTCGCTGCAGAAGTGGTGGTGCTCGCCGGAGGAGGAGAGCACGACGACGGCGACCTGGGCGTCGCAGAGCACGGCGAGCTCCCGCGCCTTCTTCATGATCCCCGACCGCCGCTTGGAGTAGCACACCTGCCTGCTGGTCGCGTCCTCGATCCGCTTTATCTCGAACTTCCCCAGCCGCCCCATCTCGACCAAGCGATCCAGCAATCGCGCGCGCGCAGGCCGCCGCGCGCGGGCTAGCTGGGTGAAGTCGACCCGCGCAACGTACGACGGGGAGAAGAGAAAGAGATCGGCTGGCTAGCTTCTTCTTCTTCTTCTTCAGCTGGCTGGGTTTGGTAGAGGAGAATGGTGGTGTCGAGTGTACCGTGTACTCTGTCTCTTGTGACTCTGTGTGCGCGTTTTGGGGAGGTGAGCAGGAGCGCTGCTTGTTGTGCAAGTCCACACGCACAAAAGCCAAATTAATATTTGCATTGTCTGCACGAGATGGGTGTTGAGCAGCTGCAGATTGGAGATCAGCTGCGTGTCACAGACGAGGCAACGAACGCTCTTGTTTGCCCGTGCGTTCAGGCTTGGAGCTCCAGCAGGGGGATGCATGCATGCATGGCTGGCCTATCACCATCAGCTAGCTGCTCCATGCATGCGCGTCAACTTTTGGTGGTTCGTTTTTGAGTCAATTACACCAGAGGTGCTAAAACTTGGCCTGAAAATTCACTTTAGTGCCAAAACTTGCAACATACATCGAACTGGTGCTACAACTTGTTTTTGGCATGCATATACGGTGCAAATTGCATTTGTAGATGGATACAGAGCTGACTAGGCGCGCCACGTGGCATATATAGGGCGTGTGTCCTGTTATTTTATGAAAAACCCCTCGGAACTATATTTTTCAAAAAAAAATTGTGGGCAACAGGATTTGAACCCCTGATCTGCAAGGTGGAGGCGCTCATGCCTAACAAATGCACCCAGAACAGTTTTCTGTTATATTTGCAAATGTACTTTATATATCGAGGCACACTTAAGCTAGCTGGAGACCCTAAACCATTTTGCAGTGTTATATTTTTAACAACAACTAAACTATATGTAAATTATAATCTTGTTTACTAATATGTAAATCATAATCGTGTGTCATGCCTTAAGATTTTTTTTAAATCTATATATTTTAATAAATGCTTACATAAGTTTAAAATGTTCACAGTTTTTTTAGAAACAAATCTTCAGAGTTTTACCAAAATATTAATGTAATATATAAAATTGTTCATGCTTTAATAAATTTTCTATATATTTTAATAAATGCTTATATAAGTTTATAAATCTTCACAGTTTTAATGAAACACCCATGTAGTCTATAAAAGTGTGCATGTTTTAAGAAACATATATTCATATAATGTAAAAATCGTTGGCTAGGATTCAAACCAGTGACATGTAGTCATCAGGTGCGCGTAGCCACCACCCCACCCTTTTTCTTCAGAAATTTATGAAATATATGTAAATTATAATATTATATTATAAATAATATATATATATACACACATAATAATATTACATTATAAAAATATTCATGTATTATTTTAAAAATTATCCATATGGTTAAATTGTAAATTATAAAATTATGCACGTAATAATTTTCATATTCAATAAAAATATCAAAGTATTTTTTGTTTTTCTATATATTTAAATAAATGATAACATATATTTAAATTTGCATGCCTTTAATAAAATAGTTATGTATTATAAAAGTGTTCATTTTTATTCTGCAGTTTATTTTGTTTATAATGCACAATTATAATTTGCATATAATTTATAATTTTTATAACAAATAACAGTGCAAAATGGTCAGTAGGGTGTCGATCCTGCTTAAGGTGTACCGAATATATAGAGTGTGTATCCGTTTAGTACGAAAAACGGTTTTTGGTCCATTAGTTAGGCAGATGTGCATCCATGCTGCAGATCACGAGTTCAAAATCCATCAGCCACCATTTTTGCACATATTTGCTCGCTGACAGATGGGACCGACATGTGGCAGTGGCCTTTTTGTGAAAAAATAATAATTTTGATGGGATTTCACAAAATAACAGGCCACAAGCCCTATCTATACCATTTAATGGCTAACAGTGAGTCCCATGTCACATGGCACGTCTAGTCAGCATTGTGTCTGTATACAAATGTGATTTGCACCGTATATGCACGTCAAAGCCAAGTTGTAGCACTAGTTCAATGTATGCCGTAAGTTTTGGCACTAAAGTGATTTTTCACGTCAAGTTTTAGCATCAGTGGTGTAATTGACTCTTTGTTTTTCATGGAAGGGGCGACTGTTTGACGTGCGTTTTAGCTTGCCTCCTTTGATATATATAATAATAATAATAATGGCACTTTAGCTACATGTAAGTCGCCTGAAAAATGAATTTTGATCAGTCAATTTTTGAGCCATTGGTTTCTGCTTCAGAATTCGTGCTACTTGTTTTTTTCCTGTTGTGTATGCTGTCTTGTTTTGGGCTCTATTTTCAACTGACCACTGTTTTGGGTCAGTCAAATCCTAATTAAGCTGAATCCCATTTCCTGTTCTTATAGGCCCATGATGCTCCTATTTTTCTTCTGTTTGTATGCCTTTTTCTTCTTCTTCTCTTTTTTCTTTTCTTAGTCGGTTACTATGGGTATTTTTGGGATGCTGGGTTAGTGTAAAATGTGTGCACGCAAATACTATATAACATAGCATAAATTATATTAGAGTTTATTTCTTACATACTAAATATGTGCAAAGTTGTGTGCAAATTTTTTAAGCTTATTTTTCTTTTATTCTTAAATGAAAAACTTCATTATTTTTTAATATGTTACAGTTTTATTTCATTTCCTTTCGTCTCTGAGGTTGATACTAATGTCATTATATCATTCGTTCTTAAGAAACATCTTTTTTTTTCTTGAATTACCACCATTATATGCTCACTCTTGCATATACTATAGAAAAGCATAATTTTCGTGTAAAGTTTGTGCAATTTTTTTCATTGTGTGCTTCTTTCATTTTTCTTTCTTCTAAAAGGGCAATACCAATGCCACTAATTCATTCTTCCTTCGGAAAATCTATTTTTTGTTTTGTTTTTTTGTTTTATTTTCTTTTTTGATAGATAATACTAATGCCACTAAATTCATTCCTTATTAGGAAAATTTATTTTTGGAAATCCCACTATTATATGCTTATTATTTTATATTATAAAAGGCACAATTTCAGTGTAAATCATGCGTAAATTTTGATATTTTTTATTTGTTTCTTGTGAAAGGGTAATACCAATGCCACAAATTCATTCATCCTTTTAAAACTTCATTATTTTGTGTCTTTTCCGCTTTCTTTGTTCTTTAAGGGTAATACCAATCCCACTAAATTCTTTCCTTCTTAGGGAACTTCATTCATTATGAAATTTCACTATGTTATGCTTATTCTTCCATATTATAAAAAGTGCAATTTTTATGTAAGTTGTGGGCAAATTTTGTCTTTTTAAATTATTTCCCTTACTTTTGGAAGGGAAATACTAATGCCACAAAAATTCATTTTTTTTATAAAATTCCATTTCTTGATTTTTTTGTGTCAATTCCTTTTTTTATAGATAATGCTAATGCCATTAAATTCATTTCTTCTTAGGAAGATTCATTTTTTGAAGTTCCACCATTATATACATATTGTTGCATATTATAAAAAAAGTGCAATTTCTGTGTAAACTTTAGTATATTTTTTCTTCTAAAAGGGTAATACCATTGCCAGAAATTCATTCTTCATTAGAAAAACTTCATTATTTTCTTTTTCTTTTTCTTTTTTAAGGGTAATACCAATACCACTAAATTATTTCCTTCTTATGGAACTTCATTATTTCAAAACTCCACTATGTTATGCTTATTCTTGTGTAGTATAAAAAGTGCAATTTCTATGTAAGTTGTGTGCAAATTTTGTCTTATTCTTTTTTTTTCTCTTTCTTTTGGAAGGGAAATACTAATGCCACAATTCTTCCTTAGAAAACTTTTTTTATTTCATTCTTTATGCTTTTGTTTCATTTTCTTTGTTTTTAAGGGTAATACCCATGCCACTAAATTCCATTGTTTGTATGCCTGCATAAAACGTGATATTATAAGAATAATTAGGAAATACTTTGCTATCCAAGATAGCCTTAGTTATATGTGATTTCGAATTTATCCTACATGCATTATTAGCTAATACTCCCTCAACATTTATTTTAGGACTGGGGGAGTAACAGTACGTACATAGCTTAGACAAGAACTCACAAGTATTAGAAAGCTAATACGAATCTGTACATATTTGAAAAGAATATCATTAACTTTTCCAGCGTCCGCACGTATGCATTGACAGAGACTGGGCAATGACGATAAACACTAGTGCAGAATCGGTCTTTAGTGCCGGTTCGTAACGGGCTTTAGTGCCGGTTCGCCAACCGGCACTAAAGAGTGGGGACTATAGGTCCCCGGCCTTTAGTACCGGTTCGTCACGAACCGGCGCTAAAGTGCCACTACGTGGCACGAGTCAGGCCCGTTTGCGTGGAGGGCATTAGTACCGGTTGGTAACACCAACCGGTACTAAATGTTTGGATGTTTTTTTTTTAATTTTTACTTTAATTTTGTGTTTTCAATTTGGCTTTATTTTCCATTTAATTCTTTTTGTTTGCAGGTATTTCACGATACTACAAATTGTACACGTTATGCATATATATTAAATAGATTTTCTCGTACGTAGAACCGCGTATCGAATGTCTCACAACCAACACCATTAACTATTCACACATATACACATGTATATACATATACAATTTCTACTACATGTTGCCTTGGTGCCTTCGGAGCACGATGACAAGTGGTTCATGGGGGCGGTAGCGGATAATAGTATTCTCCTTTCGGATCTATGACCTGGTCAAGCAAAAATCCGGCTATTTCCTCTTGAAGTGTTTGTATGCGGTCCGATGGTAGGAGCTTATCCCGCACCGATCTGAACTGTTAAGAAGGAGATCAATATGCATGTGTGTTAGTTGTGTGACTAGATATCGATAATGGTGTGAATAGTGTTCTGACAAACGTACCCAGTCCTGTCTATCAGATCTGCTCCTTTCGCATGTCATCATGCGAATGTTCTCGCAAACATAGTATGCACACAGATTATTCCCTTTCGCCTGCCTCAGGGCCTTTACGAGAAT